ATCTTGAACTTGATGATATAATAAACTTTATCGGTGACCAGCTGAGGTGATCGGGCCTTCCCCATGTTTACTGAATGATACACAAGGAAAGTCGTTATCACGAGAAAAGTCTCCTTGTTTTCTCGTGATAACGACATATTATGTTGTCAGACGAAAATAATTATGAGCGTAAAACGGCCGCTCTCAGCTTCCGTACTTCTCTGTATCCTTTTCAAAAATAGAATACTTCCGCCGTGGATGTTTCAAAACAAAAGTTGCTCTGTGTGGCTTTTGATAAGCTCAGATAATGGACGAGACCAAGTGTTAGTCTGTCCAGACTGAGAGGTTCTCCCTTTGACTCAATGGGTCAAACCTCACAGCCAAACACTGGTTCTCCTTGTCCGGAGAAAAACAGCTGTGTCCTCGTGAAGCACGAGCGTGTTGTCGTCTCAACTCAACTGACTGTTGTTAGTTCAGAGATYTTAGTTTTAAAAGAAGGGAAGTGTTATTGTGGCACTGCCTGGTGTTGTTTGTCTTAAACCAGGTGTTCTTAACCTTTTTGACCTCGGGGCCCAATTTGTTGAACATAAAGTGGCACAAGGCCCAGTCAGACATTACAAATGTATGGATCAAAATGATAATTATTCTAATCTAAATCAAAGCAGCAGAGTCCTTCAAGATTTATATGATGCTCAAGATCTGAAAATAGCTCTATTAGGTTTAGAATATGTTCAGCTTTGCATTCAGACAAATTTGTTAAGAATTCTTGCACCTTTTTAGGGGCCAAATAGGCTAAATAGGTTAAGAAATGGCTATATCCGACCCAGGAGCTACTTGTTGAATAGGCCTGACTTTAGATTTACAAAAGAAAACACAAAATTCCCTCCGACTTTTAAATCAAAGAGTTCACATCCCAAAATACAACACATGCATATATGCTAATGCTATATGGTTGAACACTGGTTTGTTTTTGTTACACATTTGTACAAGGGCAGAGACAAAAGGTAGCCAGTGTTGTTAGTATACACACTGTACCTTTCCATTCTGTAACCCATGTGACACAAACCTGGGAGATTTAGAAAGCAAAGATTTGTTTTTCCCTCTCTTCTCTTCCCTTTTCCTTCGTAGGTCAGCTCATTCATCTTGAGGCCTGCTGAGACGTCAGAGTAGGGTATGGTTCAATCGATCAGGAAGTCTAACTGCCCTTTGTATGTGTGTTTCCTCATGCAAGAGTCTACACACCAGAGATCTGACTGGAGCATTTTATTACTGGCCACAGGGAACAGCAGCAGTGGCCTTTGCCTTTTGCATCATTTTGTTACATATCTCTCCCCCTCTCCCCACCTTCCACATATCCGCCCTTCTATTTATTCTTCTCACATCTTCTCATTTTCTCCTGCATTTATCTACCTTACAGTTACCTCATCTCTTAACACCGCCCAATCCCTTCATCTGTTCCTCATCCTTCCAGCGTTCCTCACTGTGTCATTGACCTCTACTCTTTATCAAGCTCATCTGCCTATTTTTCCTTTTCCTTTTGCCAAAAGTTGAGACAGCTGACAGATTTATGGTTTTATCTGCTGTCGGTTTACCTTTCATTTTCAGTAGTGACATCCAATTAGCCACTTGTCAGGAGTGAAGGCTGGTTGGTAGGAGGTGGCGCAGCGTGGAGGGATCACTTTACTGATAACAGAGACCGGTGGATGGGCAGAAGGCCCGAGCGGAGGGAAGAATCGAAGTTAGACCAAAAGAGGGATTAGCGCGAGGAAGGGCGATTCAAAGGAGCTGCAACAGCATCGGACGAGAGAGGGAACAGAGAAGTTTGGCTGAGCTCTCAAGAGGACTCTCAATGGTTTCTGAACAGAAGCTAATAAAATATGTCCTCACCTCAGTGTCGGAGAGACAACCTCAAATGGAATCCAGCACATCACATCACCCACGCGCAAAGGCTTGGAGAGCTACACTGTGGGATCTGGGAAAAAACACCAGAATATCAAATGAAGACAAATCTTATTGGTGCAAGATCACTAAAGCAAAATACAAAAAGAGAAATAAATCATCGCGCGTGTGTGTGTGTGTGTGTGTGTGTGTGTGTGTGTGTGTGTGTGTGTGTGTGTGTGTGTGTGTGTGTGTTTGCATATGTGCCAGAACACAGCCACCTGGTAGCAGCTGCTTTCCACAACTTCTCATTGATAAAGGATGAATGACAGTAATTAGGTGAGCGGAGGCAGCTAATAGCTAGCGTGGGCAGAGCACATACTGTACATGAATTGGATTCTCCATCTGAAAGTGATTGAAGACATTTGACTTGAAGTGTCAGCTACATAAATGCTCCAATTAGAAAGTGTCTGGCTCAGCTTTACTGTCTCCTTCATGCTGGTTAGAGTAAAAAGGATCGGAATTAATCATGCATGCATAGAAGGTACAGCCCAAAAGCTCAGGTGTATTTTAATTATAAATGATAAAAAAAAACCAGAGTGGCTCAACGTAATCCATCTATTGAGCATTTTTGAATATAAAAGATTTAAACAAATTTTTATGACCCTAATTCTATTGAAATTGAGACACTGAGTAAAACAAATACAAACAGAATGCAACAATTTGCAAATCAGGGGCATGTTTACCACTGTGTTACATCACTTTCACTTTTACTAGTTGTTTGGGAACTGAGGACACTAATTGTTGAAGCTTTGCAGGTGGAATTCCTTCCCGTTTTCACTTGATGTACAACTTCAGTGCTTAACAGTCTGGGGTCTTCATTGGAATATTTTGCACACCATATTGCTCCACACATTTTCAGTGGGAGACAAGTCTGGACTGCAGGCAGGCTACTCAAGTACTTTCACTCTTTTACTACAAAGCCACTCTGTTGTAACACGTAGAATGTGTCTTGGCATTGTCTTGCTGACATAAGCAGGGACGTCCCTAAAAAAAGACATAGCCTGGATTGTGTTTGGATGGAGCAGAGAGCACCCTCGATGTGGGCAGGGTCATAATATTAAACAAGTGCAATTTTATTTAGTTTTATTTGTGACAAAACAATAATGGACTAAACCAAACTGAAAGGAAAAGTGCAGAACGTTGAACTGGATCCATGGATTGTCCATAATTTACATCGATTTTCCTCATTCAGCAAGTATACAGACATATAGAGCAACATCACAGATTTTTTGAAAAACTCAGTTTCAAATTTATTTAACATGTTAGAGTCTGTAGGACGTTTTAAAAAAACAACAACATTAAATGTCATCAAATAACCAGCTTCCAACCAGCTCTGCCGCCACAAATAAGTTCTTCCGTCCTCATTTCCTTCTGCTTATCACTGCAGGTGCTGTCATCTCTGCAGCCGACCATCCCCCCACCCCCACCCCCACAC